GGAGATTCACGTAAATTTCATTCATGCCACTTTCCCTCCATGGAATTGATCATTGCTTCTAATTTATCTTTCAGTAACAGAATCTTTAGCATAATATCATACCCAGTAATCTTGTCATCTAATTTGGCTATGAGGCTATTCCTCTACCATCTTTACATCACAGAGTATACCATAGAAATTGAAAACATTTTTCATTCAGGAAGAAAGATAATCTACTTCAAGAAAATAAGAGAAGTCAAATAGAATAAGGTATGAATATGCTTCATTGCCCTCAGTTGTGAAAAAACATCCCATTTATTTGTTATTTTAAATCAGTTTTGATTGGTTTGGGCCTCATCAAACAGAGTTTGTGAAAACAACTATTTTCAGTTATTAAAAAAAATCCTATTTTAAGAAGCTCAGGACATTTGAAGAGTGCCTCTGGGCTTAGCTCTTCATGGTTACTGCTGAACTGCTGCTTGTCCCCTTGAAAGTCAAGAGCTCCATTATTTACAGTCCCACAGTTTCTTCTTACTCTGTTCCAATCTTGCTCAGTCCCCTTCCACACTGTGGAAGCTTTGTTCTTTCACTCTTCACAATAAACCTTGCTACTGCTCACTCCTTGGGTCCGTGTCATCTTTAAAAGCTATAACACTCACCGTGCAGCTCCATTCTTGAAGTCAGCGAGACTACAAATCCATCAGAAGGAACCAACTCTGGACACCATACTTTGGTTCATCTTGTGAAATTTCTAATTTGTGGCCTTTTATTAAAATTTTCTAAAAATTATTTGCCTGTTTTATGGTTACTGATATAAGCTTCTGTTGTGTGGCTGAAGCAGATGACCATTTTAAGGTGTATCATTGCATGGATGAGCGCTCTTAGATTTCAGACTTGGTTATAGATGTGTTTCAGATTTTTGTAATTTTTGGTTGCGTCTAACACCAAGAAACCAATATACACATGCTTTCAGGTAAAACAGCTATGACAAAACAATACGATGGCTGCCATCTTTCCTTGATCCAGAAAGGATAAAGGGAAAGTCCCTAGTAGATGTTGGGACCCACAGTCTCAACTATCTGGCAGAAGTCTATGCATGCTAATAATAGAGGTAAAATAGGAGGCTGGCTTGCTAAGCTGAGTTTGCACTAGGATACTGGTGATTCTCTTCTGTTTAGCAAACTGCTTTGCTAAACACAACATGTCTGATAGGGCCAGTATGGCCAGAGAGCACCTTGCTGTGGGTTGAGCTACCCTGGAGAGATGAGTGTTTCTCATTATAGGAGACTTATTGGATAGAATGCGTGCTCAGTTGCCTCATTTTTCACCCCAGCCAACTAAGAAATACCTGTTTAAGGTTGAAATCAACACTTAACATCATAAAACATAGTTCAGCTGTACACTTTTAATAGTAGGAGACATTCATGCTTTGTATGTACCAGGAATTGGTCTAAATATTGTACAGGTATTAACATATTTAATTTGCACAAAATTTATTGAAGTCAGTATTTTTGTTATTACCATATTGCAAAAGAGGCAAGTGAGACACAGAAAAGTCAAATGATTTGCTCAAAGTCACATAGTTAATAAAGGCCAGAGGTGGGACACAGACCCAGGTACCTATTCCAGAGTCTGCGTACCACAATTTTATTTTGTTTACTTATTTTATTTTATTTTTTTTGAGAAGTCTTGCTCTGTTGCCTAGTCTGGAGTGCAGTGGTACGATCTTAGCTCCCTACAACCTCCACCTTCAAGGTTCAGGTGATTCTTGTGCCTCAGCCTCCGAAGTAGCTGTGAATACAGGCATGTACCACCATGCCAGGCTATTTTTTGTATTTTTAGTGGATGGAGTTTTGCCATGTTGGCCTGGCTGGTCTCCAACTCCTGATCTCAGGTGATCTGCCTGCCTAAGCCTCCCAAAGTGCTGGTATTACAGGGCTGAGCCACCTTGCCCAGTCTATATGCATCACAATTTGATACAGTTCATTTTCCTGGTGTATAAAGCTGGGGAAAGACAAACAATAAAGGCATTCTGGTATTTCCTCCAACTACAAGGTAGTTTCCAACTTTGAGATTCCCTGATTTATCTGGCCATGCCCTCTGCTAATTTGCAAAGCAGATTAAGGATCAGATCAAAGACCTTACTGGGGCTCCAATTCATAAGCGGCTACTGAAGTCTCACTGCAATGAACAGGAAATACGGTGTTGATTAACTCACAGTTCCATGAATAATCCCTTACACAACCAGAAAAATGCATACTGTTCCTGCTTTCTATCTCTGACCATACAGGGACAACAAACAGACATTGTAACAGGTTCCTCTGAGATATCCTTTTATCTGCATGTAATATGCTTAGCATACATGTGTACATTGGGCTGGGCTGCCTGCTCTGAAACCAGCCAGCAATAGTTCCCTGAAGTCATCAGTCACAGCTGACTTTCTGTAATGATGCAGTTGTATTTAATGAGAATCAGCAATTTATTTTATTATGTAAATTTTGAACTTTAAGTATACCTTCTAAGACTTTTAGTTTGAAAATTGCAAAAGAAAACTGAGGAAATATTAAGAACTATGGAAAAAGTTGGAACTATTTTGCCAACATCATGGCCAAAAGAAAAAGGACTTTCATATACATGTTGGACAATTATCTATTACTATAGTCTTATAACCAACTTGGTTCTTAATGAGTATTAATTATTAGCATAATTCAATCACAAATGATAAAAAACTTGTGAACAGACATTTTCCAAATAAAAGCAAATGTTATTTTAGATTTAATGTGTGATTTTGAAATGAAGAAAGTATATAATTTTATCAGTGGAACATCAGTTACTTTCTTTTAAAAAATTGTATTTTATTTTTAATTGACATAATAATGGTATATATTTTTTGGGTACAATGTGATGTTTTGATACATGAATATATTGTGGAATGGCAAAATTAGGTTAATTAATATATTTATCACCTCACATACTTAGTTTTTGTGGTGAGAACATTTAAAATCCACTTTTTAAAAACCGATTTTGACATATAAAATATCATTATTAACAATAATCACCATGCTATGCAGTAGATCACCAGAACTTATTCCTCCTAATGGAAACTTTGTGCACTTTCAGGGCGAGATTGTAAACATCTCCCCTTTTCCTCTCCACCTTTCACCCCTGGTAACTGCCGTTCTACTCTCTACTTCCATGAATTTGATGTTTCTAGATTCCACATATAAATGAAATCATGTGGTATTTGTATTTCAGGTGCTTAGCTTATTTTACTTAGTGAAATGTCCTCTAGATTAATCCATATTGTTGCAAATGACAGAATTTCCTTCTTTTTTAAAAAGGCTAAATAGTATTCCATTGTGTATATACACCACATAGTTTTCATCCATTCATCCATTGATGGACATCAGTTAATTTCTACCACCGCCAAATAAATGTTGAACAAGCATTTATCCCCCATTGTGCATTTACATTGCTGATATTATTTAATAGGTTTTCTAAAATGCATGTGTGAATAAATTATTGAAATGTAAGAAATCTATACAACTTTGATATGTAGAATTCCTCCCTCTAATTTGATTTTTTTGTTCTATGTATGTTCTGGATGATTAATTTTGTGTACCACATGAACAAATTATCTTAATTCCTGTTATGCATTGTGTTGTTTACTCTCCAAATTCATATATTGATGTCCCTATCTACCACACCACAGTACTGTGACTGTTTGAATATCGAGCTATGCGCCCTGATGTAATTACTTAGATGAACATTATATGAAGTAAGGATGGGCTATTCCATATTACTGGCGCCCTTAGAGCAAGAAATGTGAACCATTGGATCAGAGGGAGAAGGCCATGTAAGATAGGGCGGACCAGGGTTGATGGCTGTCTACAAGCAAGGAATGGTCATTACTTATAGAAAACTACGAGCCAAATAGAGACAGACAGATCTTTTCTTCATAGCCTATAGGGAAACGGACTCTGTGACACCTTTGGTGTCTGGCTTTGGACTCCGTCTGGGAGACAACTTTCTGTTGTTAAACTTGGGTTGTGGATAATCTGTTATGGACCTCAACTGATTAGTCCTTTATCATAATTATTAAAAGAAATACCTAGATGTATTTTATATAAGGCGAGGTTTAATTGACTCACAGGTTTTGCATGGGCTAGGGAGGGCTCAGGAAACTTAAATCATGGAGAAGAGGAGGACACGTCCTTCCTACAAGCAGAGAGAGAGAAGTGCTGTGAAAAAGGGGAAGCCATCTCAAAACATGATTCTGTGGAGAAACTCCTTCATATCACCAGAACAGGCATGGGAAGGCCCCAATAATTATACTTCGGCTCTCAACACGGTGAGGATTAAGTTTCCCTCCTTTTGGATGTGGGGATGTATATAGATTAGAGTTGGTTGGGACACACAGCCAAAACCATATCACCAAATTTCCATTTATCATTAATGAAGATCGACTAGATTATCGGTGTTGCGTGGGAATGACTGGGGTTTTAAATTTTATTTTATTTTTATTAATTTATTTGAGAACAGAGTCTACCTCTGGTTCGCCGCAGGCTGGAGGGCAGTTGGCGGATCTCGGCTCCTGGCCAAGTCCCGCCTCCCAGGGTTCACCCCATTCTCCTTGCTCAGCCTTCCAGCAGGCCTGGGGGATTACCAGGCGCCGCACGTGCCGGTATTTTTTGTATTTTAGTAGAGTTCGGGATTCACCGTGTTAGCCAGGGATGGGTTGGATCTCCCTGACCTTCGTGATTCGCGCCTTTGTCTCCCGTGTTGGATTAAAAGCGTGAGGGCCACGCGCCGGCTGGATTTTCTTTTTTTGCGTGGACCCTTATTTTTCGGTTATACACCTTTACACTGTATGGGTTTTAAGTGATTGAAGCTGAATGTGATGTATGTGCCTAGGAGGCCTGGGTGCTACTAAAAATTCTTTAGGTTGAGTGTTTAAAGAGACATTGTTTTCTTCTATGTACAACTTGTTCCAAAATGTTCTGGTATTATTTATTTTTTAGGATGTGTTTATGAAGCCTAGATGCTTTGAAGTCCCTGGTAAGTAAATCTATATTATTTAATTTTCTAAATTTAGATTTGTTGGTCGGTAATTTACCTTCATCTTTCTTACTGGAAATCTGATATTTCATTTTTTTTTCATCAGCCTGGATGTTTTCATGAACTCTAAAGTTTAACAGTGCAAATAATTTGTACCTGAAGTGTATTTGCGACATGCATGGTCAAGGGTCCAGGGAGCTTGAAGAACAAATAGTATGACACAAACCAGTTTTCAAAAGTAGCCTGAGAACACTTTGTTTTTTTAAGGGTTATTGTTAGTGAGCACGGATCTCACCAGAGTTCCTAAGATCTTATTAACTATTTAAAAGATGAAGTCCACTCTTCCAATTATACTTTGATACAAAATAGAAATATGTACAAAGTAAAAGACTTTTGGTATCCCTGAAAATGTTCTGTCTGCAATGGAAATCAACAGATATTTCTCTCATTGCTGCATGTTTTTTTTGGAGATGAAGTCTTGCTCTGTTGCCCAGGCTGGAGTGCAGTGGTGCAGTTCTCCTGCCTCAATACTAAAAAATGATAAGTTTCCATGTTTTGTCATTTTTGACTCCTGAGCTCTTGTTAGAACTTGTGATAGTGTTAAGTATGTTTGTGGTAGTGACTATCAATTCACTCCACAGGGAGCATGAAATGCTCAAGATTTTATAAAGATCATCCATTTACTCTATACTTTACGTACTGTGCCTATAATTTTCTGATTTTAGTTCAGTGAGTGTGTTTACTAGGAGAGAACTTCCATGCTACACATAAAATATTCTATAACATTTTAAAAATCAGGGATATATGTGTATATTTAAATCAAGGATTGAAAGAATATTCCTTTTTTGTGTTCTTACTATTTCTTAAAGCATCGTATACTAATTAAATATTTGTTGTATATTTTCTACTATGTTCAACCTATTGTGTAAGATGCTTGGAGAAGGAGTAGGGCATAATAAAAGACATAACAGGTTTCTGTCCTCTGGGGTTTTATCTGGGGCCTTAAAAGGAAACCTATGGAAAGATAAACATTTGGTAGGGAGCCATGTTTTAACTTACTGTTATGTAAAAACTGTGGAAGTAGATCTCAGAAGAGGGAGTTGTCATGAATCAGGGTGGTCAGAAAAGAGTCAGTGGAGAAGTGGGGATTGGGCTACAAGAAGGTAAAGAAGAGGAAGAGAAAGGGCCCAGAGAAAAAGCAGGCTTTGAAAATCCTTATACGTTTGGTGACAATGAAAAGGAGTAGGTTGAATTGGTTGAGAGAGCCAGGTTTTTTATGAAGAGCTCTCCATATTAGGAGAAGGACTATTCTGTAATCATCAGGACAGAAAGAGATAGCTTGAAAGATCATCACGGAATAGACTGGAAGAGGAAATGTCTGGACAGTAAGACCCAAAAAAGGTTGTACAACAGTTCAGGCCTTCGGCTGTGAAGACTTGTCCTGTGGTAGTCAGGATGTATTTGAATGATATTAGAATTAAAAACCCATAAAACAATATAAAAATATCTTAAACAATTAAATGTGTAACTAGGGAGGAGCCAAAGGAGAATGATTATGTAAAAACTGCAGTTACAGACTGAATGATACCCCTTTATTTAACTAACGAAACAACCTTCAAATCTATCCTTATCTCATCATGTTTATAGTTCTTGATGATTGACAACTGCATCACAAGAAAATAAATTGTTACCAAAATTTATTAAAGAAAATATATACACTAAAAATTCCAAAGCTGTCATTTTATTCCCCACATTCTATTGCTATTCTAAATCTCTTGTTATCCCAAGTATTGTACAATAACGGATATTCCATATAATTCTAGAAACTGATAAGATTTAGTTCAATAAGAACTATATCGTGGCTTCAGATATGAGAAGGAGTAAGATTTATTCAAGAAATCAGTCTTGTATCTTGCTGTCTATTTAAAATTCTGGAAGCACAGATAAGATAATTTACTTGCTTGAAAATCTCTTGTGATCCCTTATGGTCCCTAAAATGAGGTTCAAAATCCTTAGGCAGTATAGGGCAGAGGGGAAAATGTTGAACTCTGGAGACTAACCAAGCTTCAAATTTTGATTTTCTTATTTATCAGTAGTATAAGTTTGGGAAAGTTATTTAATCTTTCAGAGCCTCAGTTTTCAATAGCAACAAAAATGATAATAGCCATTCATAGAATTATGACTATAGGAAGAGATGAGTCACATAATCAGCATATTACATAGTAAGAGCTCAATGGATCTATTATTTTAAGCAGATTTGTGTTAGTCTAAACTACCATGAACTGTCTCCATCATACTTTTCCTATAGTAGTTTCCCTTGCTGATCTTCATTCTGCTTATCGTATGGTCAAGCTGAATTCCTTTTAGATCTATGGTCTGTAACCTCTGCTTCTCGCTTTTATTTATGCTGTATCCCCTGCAAGGTACCCTCTCCATTTCTCACTTCTCACCCAGGTATTTTTTTAAGATTCTATGCACGCTTTCAAAGATCAGTTGAAAGATCATTTTCTAAGGAAGAATTTTTCTGATACTACCAGTTTTTCCGATCTCTCACAAGAGTTGTATCTCTTGAGGGCACTACGTAAATCACACTTCTTAGTTTCAAATAACAGAATTGACATTGAATAATTTAATACATTTATTAAAATATATTAAACAAGTATAGAAAATCTCTGTGGGGCTCAGAGAGCCAGAGTTGAAGCTATGCAGCCAGGAAAAATGCCCACCTGTATTGAAAGACTGGTTTAATGAGATCACTATTACCGTTTCCTCTCTGGACTATGTTCTGTCAACTGTGTAACCTACTACTCCCTGCATTAATCAGATCTGGACCACATATGAGAAACCTAGCTGCAAGGGTGTGTGAGAAGGCACCACACAGACACACACACTCACACATTTTTTTTTTTTTTTTTTGAGACAGAGTCTCACTCTGTTGCCAGGCTATAGTACAGTGGCATGATCTCGGCTCACTGCAACCTCCGACTCCCTGGTTCAAGCGATTCTCCTGCCTCAGCCTCCCGAGTAACTGGGATTACAGGCATATACCATCACGCCTGGCTAATTTTGTATTTTTAGTAGAGACAGGGTTTCTCCATGTTGGTCAGGCTGGTCTCGATCTCTTGACCTCGTGATCCCCCTACCTTGCCTCCCAAAGTGCTGGGATTATAGGTGTGAGCCACCGCACCCGGCCCACACTCACATGTTTTTTGTTTCCTGCTTTGGATGGAAGAACTTTGCAGTTTGAGAAATTACCAAAATGAAAGATATTTAAAGATGTTGTGTGGTTACAAATGAAACATGTTTAAACAGACCCTTACCACTTAAAAAAAAAAAAACCTTTTTAATATAGTAATTTTCAAATACATAGGAAAGTAGAAAATAATAGTGCCATCAACCTCCCTCCTCTCTCCCCATTGATCCCTTACCTCTCTATAACAATCATCAAGTCATAGCCACTCTTGTTTTGTTTCATGACTGTCCCTGCCCACTTCTTCCTGCATGCAACTCCTCCCATCCACACCTTCTAGTAATTTTGAGGAGAATACATGCATAACATCATTGCATTCATTACTAATTCAATTTGTATCTCTAAAAGATAATGAAGTGCTTAACAACATAACCACAATTCCATTATCACAGCTACAAAGTTAAGGATAATTCTGTAATGGTCAACAAATGCCCCCAGGTAGTGTTTGAGTTCCCCTGATTGTCTTCAAAATGATTTTTTCTTTTTTTTTTTTTTGAGACAGAGTCTCGCTTAGTTGTCCAGGCTGGAGTGCAGTGGCCCAATCTCGGTTCATGCAGCCTCTGCCTCCCGGATTCAAGCCATTCTCCTGCCTCAGCCTCCCGAGTAGCTGGGATTACAGGCACCTGCCACCACGCCTGGCAAATTTTTGTATTTTTAGTACAGATGGGGTTTCTCCATGTTGGCCAGACTAGTCTTGAACTCCTGACCTCAGATGATCCAAAGTGCTGGGATTACAGGTGTGAGCCATCGCACCCAGCCTCAAAATGATTTTTAAATTTTGATTTGTTTGAATCAATTTCCAAGCAAGTTTCTCACATACATTTACTTCTCATATGTCTGTTAAGTCTCTCTTAATCAGTAGATTCTCTTTATCTCTTTTTTTCTCTTTACAATTTATTTGGTGAAGAAGCCAACCCATTCATCTTGTAGTTTTCTGAATTCAAGATTTTTCTAAGTGCTTTCTGTGGCATCATTTAACATGTACCTGTTTTCCTTCCTCCCTCTGAAAACTGGTAATTTGATTTAGAGCCTTGGCATGATGGCTTGATCACAGAAAACCTGGAATTTTTAGAACCAGGTTTCTTGACTCCTAGTCTATGCTGTTTCTAAGCTGCCTCTTTAATGAGGCACAGAGTACATGGCCTTTTATTTGGAAAGAAGGAACAGCTCCATGCTTATAAAATGCTCAGAGTATGCTCAGTATTGCTCATCATCCGACACATAGAAAAGACAGTATGTATCTTGAGAAAGCCTAAAGAAAATAGGGAAGCTGACCCCAGAATCCTTGGCCACTTTCTTTCTACAGACTTTCTATTGAGGAATGATATACTTTGTTTTTGTATAATTGGCATTTCTGGGATCTGGTTATTATATGCAGAGGTTAAAAAAAAACCCCTATATCCCTGCCATAAAATGCGTCAGTAAGAATGCTGAGTCAGCATGGATACAGCAAATACATACAGCATGAGTTATATTTGGTGGTGACAGGAGGGAGAACATGAAGGAAATCTTAGTTGATTTATATATACATTTTTTTCTCCCTTATCTCTTCGAGGATTTTTGCTTCTTTTAAATTCGACCCATTTATTCCAATAGTTCTAGTTCATGTGTATGTATTGTTTGACTCGTTGTCTTTCTATTATTAACTCTTGGGAGTCTAATTATTTTGACTTATGAATAAGGGTGTTTATAATTATGTTTGTTAATCTCATAGGGCCATAGCAATACTTTATCAAATTATAAATCGTTC